CCATCTACTACTACTACTACTACTACTACTACTACTACTACTACTACTACTACTACTACTACTACTACTACTACTACTACTACTACTACTACTACCACCACTACATTGTACTATTATAAGGCGTCAAAAAAAAAAAAAAGAATAGAACCATTTTTTAAGAATAACTTTTTATTTCCTATGTGTCGGACTCCGAGATATTGAAACTAAGATAAATCCCATTAGCTGTTTCCTGTATCTTTTTGGTCTATAGCATTCTAGTGCATATGCTATTGCGACCGTCTTGTTTGTGGCTCACAGCAGAAAGTTCTATTTCGCCAATCTTTATCTCAAGCCTGACTCTTGGGAAAATAGGAATCTTATAATTCAGCTTGAACTCGCACTCAAATTTCACGCTAATGTACAAAGAAAATGACAAAAACATTTCACAATTATGGTCGGTTAAACATCATTTTTTTTTCTGACCTGTCGAGATAAATCAATATGTTCATTGTCAAAATTTGGAACAGATTGATGTAGTCTATAAACATTTACTGTCAAAACCCTGTTTATTTTTAAGATGGACGGGTAATACCACTGCAACGACGACATATGACGCATGTGGCAAAGATAATAATACCAAACGGCAACAGTAATAGCTAGTATTAACAGGAAGAAAACGAGGAATGAACCGTGAGGACGTTTTGTATGTCGAGTAGCGAAAGAAATGTGGAAAAGTCAGCGTGAACGATGGGTGGACACTGGGCACCTTGATGCTTCAGCATTAAAACGACATTAGGGAAATGACAAGTGGGACACGGTCGAGTAATACCGCGTCAGCGCGAACGAATTATGATTGTTATGAACTTACCTGACCCCAAAACATCTTTTCGGAAGCTCGTAAATCACACGCATTTCATCTCTCCTATCTGCAGACGTCAAGCCGAGAGCCGAGCGAAGGAACCCCGTCAGGTCTTGTCGAAAGACTTCTTCAGCGTGACGAGCCAATCATGTGTCTTGGAAAGCGTGACTAGCCAATCATGGGCCTTGGAAAACAGTTGCTAGATTAACTGCCGGGCGAAGGACTGCTACCTGGAACGAGACTGAGCTGTCCCCATCCCCCGACCACATCTGAAAACTTCAGATAATTACCTATGTATTTTGTTTATTTGTTTGTTTTTGGTTGTTGTTTGTTCGGGGTTTTCTCTTTAGAAATCATTTAATTATGTATTCACTGTCGACATTTTAGCATGAATACGCCTTGTCCACTTCGTTTACATGCAATCGTATGTGTATATGTCATGATTTTGTCAGCAAGACAGTAATCAGAAAGACATGGGAACTTTTTCAATACTTTTTTTTAAAAGAGAGAGAGAGAAAGAGAGAGAGGGGG